TTATATAATATTTATAAAGAGAGAGTGATACTCTTCCTTTGTTCCTTTATTAAAACATTTACTAAATTTGACCAAATTCTTTCTACCGATCCATAATCCCGAATCACTATCTTTGGGTACCAATACTACCTTTGCATCATAGGAAACTTCTCTAATTTTTCTTAAGTCAAAGGTCAACCCATAAATAGTTTATTTTAACTCTTCCCGGATAGTATATAAATAGGCTTTAAGTTGTATTTAAGCCAATCTCTTTACTTTCTAAGGATGAAATCATTTTTAAAACTTGTGATAATTCCTCAGGTATTTATTTCCCATTTATCTCTGATTATCTAAGGTCTTCTCATATTTTAAATAATTCAATTTTGATTAATTTTCATAATTGGCCAAAACCCTGTGAATTTCATCAATTTACTCCAGGGGTATTTTTGTCATTTTCAACTTCCTACGGGCCTCAAGATCTCAAGTCTCATTTTTCTAGAATTGTTTAGAATTTTTCCAAAACTTTTGGGCATACTTTTCATTATTGTCCTTTTCAACCCAAAACTTTCTAAATTTATAATTAGGTCCCTTCTTGGATTTAGTCTCAGGAATCATTTCATTGAGATTCCCAGCATAACTTTTGGTCCTTAATCATCTCCAATTCCTATAATCAAGCTCTTAAGACTTCATCAGAGTCTCTAACTTACCTATCTTGTAGTACTAGAAAACTTTTATTTCGTGATTTAGTTCCTAACAATTTTCTTGTCCTTTCAAGGAATTTCTGAAACTCCTACCAAAAAAGGTCTGGTAGCTACCCATTTCATGCTAATTATGGTAGTTTTAGGCCTTAAATCTAGGATCTCTGCTCAAAAAATTTCATCCTAGATGGAAAACATTCAGTTTTGGGAACATGATAAAGGGGAGATGCATGGGATGAGAGCAATTACAAGAGCTGCTATAGAAGAATGGGAAAAGAAAATGGATGACATTGAAAAAGAGGTATACAAAATAAAGGAGGTAGAGTCGGAAGGAGAGAATAAGAAGATCTATAAATTCATATATTTCAATTGAAAATGAGATTTAAGTTACTTGAGAATGTGTACAAAATTTTATTAAGGCATTTTGAGTTGGAAAACTCTACTATTTATTTTGGTGAGATGGACTAATTTGTATATATAGAATTTTTGACATCTCAATTTTATACAATCGTTGGTTGTAATTATGCAAATTAGAAACTCGTGAAGCAACCATTAACAACAATACATGAATTTATAATAGAAATTTGGTGATTGATAATAAAGATAAGTGACTCTACAACTAAACTGATGCATTCATAACTAAAAGCATGGGTGCTATTATTGACAATTGAAATATACAAATTTGCAACCAAAATACATTAATTAACAAGATAAATATGACCATTTTCAACAGAACTAATTAAATTCACAAGTGGAATATATTTTACAAGTTTGAGAGATGTTATATATAATTAGAATAAACTAATTTGCAGCCACAATATGTCGATTAACAAGACAAATACAACCATTTGCATGTAGATATGACTAATTAAATTCACAAATGAAATATAATTTACAAATCTAGGAGCTATCCTTCATAACTAGAATATGCCAATTTGCAATCAAAATACATTGGTTCACAAGAGGAATACACCCATTTACCAGTTGAGTAAGCTTATTTATATCAACACATATGCATAATGGGAGACAATTATTCATACATTTACATAGTTGTCATTGTATTTTTCTTCGGTTCACGATGGTGGAATAGTCTCTATTCACTATATATTGAGATAACTCTAGAATACTTCCCAACTTCTTCTTCCTTTCTTTAACATCTATTGTTCTTTCTAGTTTTCTAGAAAAATGGCAATTTTGTGGTGTGAAAATTCGTATTTGTGTTGTAAATTCAAAGTTTTAATTGTAAATTTATACTATATTCTGATTGAAATTGACACATTAATAATATGTAGCAATAAGTGATATATGACTAGTAATAGTATAAAGCAATTATTTTGCATCTTTCATGTTGAAAGGGAATACGTAAAGACCTTACTTATTAACAATTGTAGCTTCACTTGTGAATGGCCTTACTTTGACTATAAATTTCCATATTCCTCTTGTGAATATACTTATCTTGGTTGTAAATTTCCTTATTTTATTTGTGAATGCTAACTCCTTCATTTATTACTAATGGCAGCAAATCCATCCCTCTCGTGAATCACTAATTGTGAATTCAATTAGTTTACTTGTTAATACCTATGTTTAAACTAACTTATCTGTTTTGTGAATCACCTAATATTTGTTGCAAATTTCTAACCATCAATTGTGAATATGCTTAGTTTAGTTGTGATGCATTAGTTTAGTTGTAAAGTCACTTATCATTATTGTGAAAACTTGTATCTTTGTTGTAAATTTACTTAATCTAATTGTTGGCCTATATTTATTGATAGTTTTGAATAGTTGCTTCACAAGTTTCTAATTTCTGCAATCACAACCAATAATTCTATAAAATTGAGATGTTAAAATTTTTTACGCACAAACTACTTATGTCACCAAAATAAATAACAAAGTACTTTGAATCAAAGTGTCTTAACACAAACTTTTACAAATTGTGAAATAACTTAAACTAGATTTTTAATTAAAATATATAAGTTATTACTTTCTTTTCCACTGTGTCTTCATTTGTTCAAGTAGTTTTGCAGTAGTATCTAGCTTTGAATTACATTTATTAGTAATAAGCCACTCCAATAGCTCTAACTTCAATGAAAGAGTTGTTCCTATGGAACAACAATAAGTACCATAATTAGCTTCACATATGTAGAACATTAAAAACTCAAAATAATGCATAACTTTGGTTGTTACGCAAGTAAACATGAAATTGCTACAATCAACTTGTAGATGTACTAAGTTTTGTTGTAAATTGCCTGACTTTGATTGTTACATCAGTAAACATGATTTTGCTACCATTACCTTGTAAATGTACTAATTGTTGTTGTAAATTGCCTAATTTCAGTTGTTACAATAGTAATATGAAACTGCTATAATCAACTTGTAAATATGACAAATTTTTGGTGTAAATTTTCTAACTTTTCTTGTCATACAAGCAAGCATACTTGTTAATTTTTTACTTTAATTATTAATTAATGCCAGAGACATGCACCAACAATACTTACTCACAAAACTTAGAAATTGCAAAACAGAATATATTACTGAAAGCATAAAAAGACATTGCACAGTAGTGACTATAATTATTAAGAAATATCAATGACCAATTGAAAAGAGTGAACAAATTTGAATTAAGAAAATAAAGCTACAAACTTAAACCTTAACCCTTTTAACACTCACATGTTCCGATCAAATGGTAATAGTGTTGACATTCTTATATTCTTATACTTGTTAATCTTTGATTCTTTGAAATTTGTATTAAATATGGCAAGTTTCTAGATATGGTAATAGGAGAAGCCTTAGTGTTGGTGATCCATGTGCCATAGGCTTCCTTCACAAATAGGGTTTTGTTAAAGAATCACTTTTCCTTACAGCAAATATATTTCTAGGGAATGAAACAATGCCTATAAAAAGAATTAATAAAGATGTGCTTCATATTAGTGAAGATAGCAATAACTACATCACAGTTCATGCGTCTCCATGAAAATTATTTTAATATCAACTTCCATTTGAAAACGCTATAATGGAATTATATACTCTACATGAAAGGTAGTATACAATATACCTAAAATGGTTAATGGCACATTATCGACATGAACGAGAGGATTGAGATTTCTAGTGAGAGAATGTGAAAATAATACAAATAAGAAAAGTGTACCTAAGTATAGAGGAGCAAAACTATTATAGAGAAGTGAGATTTCTATCGAGAGAACACAAACACACATGAAAAATGTGAGAGAATGCAAGCAAATATGACTACTCAGCCATCTGAGAATGTGTTAAGAATGCTAAGAGAATAGGGTACAGAGAATGCAAACCAATTTGTATGCGGCAAAGAAAATTTGGATTTGATCATAAGAGTAAAACCCTATCAGAACTTTTTCTCCCCCCCCCCCAAAATATTAAAGGTAGTCTAGTCCTTTTTCTTCTCAATTTAATTTCATCTTGACTGAAGAGATTGCAGCAAAATTTCAGAGTTGTTAAGTGACAAATAAAAATTATGTTGCTACAGTGGTCATTTAATGAAAATCTCCCCAAAAGTTTTAATGATGAGACAAAAGTGACTAGGATGGGATTGGACATCTTAATAAGGAAGAATTAATTTGAGACGTGTACAAAAAAAGATAGCAAGCTGATGGAGTAGAGTAATATTATAAATAAAGTATAAACCATGCAAGGATATACATATGCAATGACATAATAGAATATGTCCTTCCATCTATTGCACTCTACCTTTTAGCTTCCTAATGTGGATTTTGAGCATTTGTGTTGTATAATTAAGGCCAAAAGTCACTCCACTCACTTTAAGTTAATGGGTCCCCTCCTCAGTTATGCCCCCCATAAATAACTATGGTGTGATAGGTGGTTATCCAAGACTTTATGTCAAATTCAAACCACAGAAAATAGAAAACTACAAGGGCTTCACAACGTGCCAAATAGTATTATCGGTAGTATGGCATGCTGCACAGGCTTCAAAACAAAAGATTCCTCCTTTTATGTTTTCAAACTCTATTATAACCTCAATACATAATTACAATATCAATTACGACATGCCAATTTTTTTCAAAATGAAAGGAGAAATATTTCCAACCATTTACAACACATCTCCTATTCAATTAATAACATACTAGACAAATATTATAGAAGCAAACCCATTTCATGTATATCAACATACTTCCCACTTTAAAAAAAGTTTGACACAGGAAAGTACGTATTTTTTAATCCCAACTAAGTTATACATATAAGGAAATTAACTTTATAATTTCATTGAGAAGTAAGGGTAAAGAAAACCTTACAATCAAATTTATACATAGAAAGTAAATTAACTTCAGTTACCTCAACTTCAAACTTAGATGCTCTAGCTTGAGCCACCAAAGACTGCTTGACAAAGTTTAAATACAAGCTAATCTACACCACACACAAATCAAACATTCCTTAACAATGTAAAAAAACAAAGTCTGATGCTCACTTCTTATAACTCCCATCTATTCCAACAACTCAAACTTTTGTCTCAAATCCAATTCCACAATCTAAGATTTCAACCATTGTCTCCTCATCTAAAATGATCTAAAGAAAACCAAAGTTCAACCTCAACAACATCCTTCCATTACAAATCCCAAATTACATCTAGAATTTTTAACCTTCAACATGCCTAATATTGCAATCCAATTAATATCAACTTAAACTAATTAAAACTCTTATCTAACTCCAATAAACAAACTCAATCCATAAACGACAATTTAAATCAACACTTCATGAATTTCTATCTAATCCGTCTTTAAACAACAAACCCTAATCTCAAAATCATATATAAATTAAGTTTTGGTCAAAACATCATACATTTCAAAAATCACAAAAGCCACAAGATTCGATGTTTCAAAAATTCTAAAAATCCAAAAGAAGAGGATAGAAAACAAGTTAGATTCACTTATTTAAAGGTTTGAAACCTCAAAATAACTAATGATGTAAGTGAATAGCTAAACAAAAATTATAAATAACTTAAAGGAGGTGCCTCATTTATTTATTTAAACATGTTTAAAATTTGGAGATGCGGTTGTTAGTTATTAAACTATTATAGTAAATAGCTAAACAAATATAGTGAATAGCTAAACAAAAGTAATAAATAACCTAAATGAGGGGCATCATTTATTTATATTAAGGAGTTTGAATTTTGAAAGATCTTGTTGTTAATTATTTAACTGTTATGGTAAATAGCTAATTAAGTGTAATGAATAACTAAAAAAATTGTGAATAACATGAAAGGGGGCCTTATTAATTGCTAAACTATTATAGTAAATAGCTGAGATGTAGCGAATAGCTAAAGAAATGTCAAAAATAACTTAATATTTTTTTACTAGCGTTGAAAATAACTTATAGTCAAAGTTAAGTAGTTAATTGATATATTATTTTGCATAATGTCAATAATAAAGTTTGGTAGCTCAACGGTTAGTTACACTTTTGACATCTAAGCAGTGGTGGAATCAAATCCTACCTCCCACCAGTTGGCAGCCTTCTAATTGCCATCACTAAAGATCAATGGGGAGTAGCTGATGCAGTGGTCGCTGGTGAGGAGGTTGTGAATTTAAAAAAATAAAATAAAATTAGAAGGCATTTTTATCTTTTTTATAGAATTTCAAACATATCATAGGGATTACGAAAATTCAGTGCACCATTATGGGATTTTAGTATTTCAAAGTTCTTTTTTCTGTCATTTTTCCTCATGTTAATGCCTTCAATGTTTCATTTAGTTTTGTACTTAAACTTTATTTGTTGAATGACATTTGCTATAATAATATAATTACTATTACGCCCTTTGCCCCCTTTTACTCCCTTTGTCCCCTTTTTATAAGTAACAACTATCATATCTCTCAATATAAGCAACATTTGTAAATTGTCTTAACTATTTGTAGCAAATTTCTTATTTCGCTCCTATTAATTACTTATTTTAATACTTAATATATTTATTATCTCATTTTTTAAATAATTATCTCTCTCCTTTACACATTCTCTTTCTTTCATAATTATCTTTATTATTATAATTTTCTTATTCTCTTTATTATACTCTCTTCCCTGTAAATAAGGGTATTTTGCAGGGGAAAAAAATTCAATTTCTATCTATTTATTATTTTTACCTGATTTTAACTAACTTTTTAATCTACGTGATAGAGTCTAAAATTACTTACAAAAATGATCGAAGGGAGTACTGTAGTTCAAAAAAGTGATGACTATAATAGCAATAAAAGATAGCGGCAAAATTATCTTTTTGAATGTGGGTCCACTAAGAATCTGGCTTCCCTCCCACAGTGGTGGGTTGCATTGCATAGAAATGGAAATTGGTTGCCACTAGAAAATGCCCTCCCACATGAAAGATCCTATAAATGGTCTTTGCTAATGAAAAATGAGTTATTTTCCTTTTCATCACAACACTTGACAAGCCTTTATTTTGCTGTTTTTTCCCCCTCTCATCCAAATATGGAGAAATTGACTTCTTTACTTATTTCTTGTTCTAGTTTTTTTCCGCCTCTTTATGCAAATAGAATATTAGTGTATGCCCTTTTAATTGAATGAAAACGGTATCCAACGGACTTTTTCACTTTGTCAGCGGTTTTTTCGAACCCGAACTTTTCTCTCTCTTAAAAACTGTGCCATTGTAGCTCTTACTCACATGGAGGATTCTGGGCAATGGAAAGTACCTCCAAATCGACCCTCCGATGACTTAACGCTAATTGATTTCAATAGCAAGAACAAAAAAAAAAGAAAGGTGCAATCGCTACTATGGATACAGATAGGTTCGCATTACTGAACAACCAAGTGGTTCTTGAGGACCAACAAAAATAGACATCACCTAGAAAGACATCTGAAGTTACAGATAACTTGGCAATCACTGTTAACATGACAGAACACTCCATTTCCATAAAAATCCAAGAAAAGGAAGAGTCACCTTCCCACCCAGATGACAATAGGACTATAAAGAAGGTGAAGGCACAGCTCCCACACATGCAGGATGATACAAATATGTTGTCTTACGACCCTATCTCACACCCTGATAATGAGGACAAGTCAGACTCCGACCCTATCGAACCGTCAAAATCCTCAGCCCCCCTTGTTCAAAGACATGCTATTGAACTGAGCCTCTAAGAAGAAAGAGGAGAAGGATGATCTCGCCTTGCAGGACCGGGATATCAGTGTAGATAGAACAAGGCCCTTTCTATCCATTGCCTTTTCTGCAAGAACCCATCAGCTCCTAAACAAAATATGCAGTCATTATTAAAATGTTAGGGAGAAATATTAGATATGATGATCTCCGAAACAAAGTAGCTAGTCTTTGAAAAATCACAAGCTCGGTCTAGTTTATGGATTTAGAGGGTAATTGCTTTATTGCCAAGTTCAGTAACGAAAAAGATTCACGGAGTTTTGCTTAGGGGACCCTAGGTCATTTTCGGACACTACCTTACAGTCCAACCTTGGTCTCCCGACTTCTTGCCCCTACGCCATATGGCTTCACAAGTCATGGGTTGGATCAAAATTCCAGTGTTGCCAGCAAAGTATTACAAGAAGAGCGTTATTCGAGCGATAGGAGGCAAAGTTATGAAAATTGACTACAACACAGCATCAGGGGTAAGAGGTAAATTCACCCACATGGCAGTTCTCATTGACCTCTCGAAAGTGCTCACCTCCAAAATAGAAATCGATAAACAAGTATTCTTTATAGAATATGAAGGTCTCCCTACGATTTGCTTCAAATGTGGGCACTATGGCCATTTGGAAAATGTCTGTCCCCTGAACCATGATGTGTCTAAGATGGATTTGGGACCGTCACCTACTAGCGAAGCACAACCACTAGAGGTACGTTTGCCAAATGCACTGGAAGGCTGTGATGCCTTGTACGGCTCTTGGCTGCAGGTAGCCCCACGAGGCAGAAGGCAAGGAAGAGTAGACAAGAAGGAACCACCAATTTATTCACTCTCAAATCACCATCAAAGAATACTCCAAAGAGTTCTTTTTTACTGCTATTTATGCAAGTCCTAACCCGTAATTGTGAGTTAAACTTTAGTCCGAGCTCTCTAATCTTGCTTCAGATCAGTCCTCTTCATGGATCCTTGCAAGGGACTTTAATGCCACGCTACATGCTGTCGAACGCTGTGGAATAGGGCTAAGGCAAACCAAAAGCTACCCCCTTTTTCAATTTTTCTATCAAGATAACGAAGTCCTGGACTTGGGTTTCTTAGGCCCAAAATTCACTTGGAGGCATAGGTTGACTTTGGTAGGACTGGACCGAGCCATAGCCAATGTCTCCTGGATACAGCTCTTTCCCAACTCTAGTGTACACCAGCTGCCCCAAATCAATTTAGACCACAGACCTTTACTAATTCGACTTGGGCTTAATCAATCTCAGGTCACTCAACCTCGGCCTTTCAGATTTCTAGCAGCCTGGATCCACCACCCTCACTTCTCCGACTTAGTGAAAGACAATTGGAGCAATAGTCATAGCCTGGTCGAAAACATCGATAATTTTGTAGAGGCAGCGTCGAGATGGAATCAGGAGGTCTTTGGATCAATCGGGAGGGAAAAAAAAAGGCTCAGAGCTCGCCTGCTAGGAGTACAAATAGCTAGAGAAAGCAGCCTCTATTCCTCACACCTCAGAGACCTTGATTATGCTCTACGCTTTGAGTATGAAGATGCCTGCCTGCATGAGGAGCTTCTCTGGCTTCAGAAATCACGAAGTAATTAGATATGTCTGGGAGACAGGAACACAACAAGGCTCGTATTAGGAGAAGAGCTAATCGCATTAATTCTTTAGAAAATGCCAAAGGGGACTAGATCACAAACAGTGAGACTCTTACACAAATGGTTCAGGATTATTTTCTAAATCTTTATTCTGACGACCCTGCTAGCCCTGAGGCCTATCTAACCTGAGGTAAGTTTCCTCCTTTACCTTCACACTCCCATAGTTCCTTATCTACTGAGATTACTGCGGAAGAGGTGAAACAGGCACTTTTTGACATGAAACCTCTCAAAGCCCCTGGAAGTAATGGACTTCATGCCCTCTTTTACCAGAGTCAGTAGGAAATTGTTGGTGATTTTGTTTACAATACTGTAAAAGATATTTTCAATGGTGGGAATATCAATCCTGTCTTAAACAAAACACTCATAACCCTAATCCCCAAGATTGAACGACCCCAAACTCTCAAGGATTTTCACCCAATTAGCCTCTGTTCGGTAGCCTATAAGCTGATTACAAAAATCATTACCAATAGACTCAAACTAATAATACCAAAACTTATTCTGCCTTACCAAGCTAGCTTTATTAAGGGTTGAAACATTACAAACAATATTATTATTGCCAACAAAGTCATACACTCCATGAGGAAAAAAAGGGCAAAATTGGTTGGATGGCCATTAAAGTTGATCTAGAAAAGGCATTTGATCAGATCAAATGGAGCTTCATAGAAGACACCTTGCGAGATGCCCAATTCCCAAAGAGGCTCATCAGGCTCGTCATGCATTGTATCACAACACCTTCCATGCAAGTTCTTTGGAATGGT